CTCAGTGTACTTAAAAATAATCACCACTAGCACATTTTGCTTCCACTGAGAAGATACTAAGTGGAAACCTGCTAAGTAGAGTACACTACACAGACCCCTCCCCACTCTTCCTAGGGCAGGGACCACAGCTCCATAAAAGCAGGACTTTAACTAGTGTATGTCTCCCTTTTACAACAGTAGTCAACTAACTAGCTAACTTGTGGAATAAATATCACTTCTTAGTTGGAGAATTTTACTAAATAATAATTTTATTTATTCATCTTTGAACTGTCTTATTTTGCATACTATGAAACAGACAAGTTTTTGAGACAGGATAAATTCGTATGAGTAAATGAGTATTTTCAATTCCTCCTCCACAAATACTCAGTCCTAGGGTGCTTGGCTAAGTCCTATGTCATTGAAACTGCTCAGCTAATAGCTACAAGACAAAGAAATTCAAGACAAAATAAGGCTGGAAAAAATGGTACTTAATCTTCTTTTCTCTTGGTGAGAAGTAGAGGTCAGAGAAAATACAATGGGTGGAAATTCTACAACAGAATAAAATGTTTCAATGGAAGCCATAAGCTCTACTTTATAAAGAATTAATATTTAAACAATAAGCAATAAGAAAATCTGTTTTGTAAAAGTAGTCTAGAATAGAAGTGGAGGAAGGGAGGGGTAGAATGAGAAGGAGAAATTGTTTCTGCCTATTAAGGAATCAGAATGAGGTAAACATTTACAATGTCTGCAACAACATTCAAGAACCAGAAACGTAAGCAAGAAAGAATATGCTTGTATGAGCAATGTTTATATACTGATATTTTCCCCATACTTCCTTTAAAATAACCATCTTTTTAAATTTGCCTGCCGTAATACTTTGCAGTTAATGAATCACCAAGAAGGTATTTATAAAGTAAAAGAACAGTAATTCATACAAGATTTTTGAGTTTTAACTATAAACAAACATTGATAGGTTCATGCTACATTAGAGAACTTAGAATGCATAGAATAAATTAACAAGTTTTTGTATTCTGATGAGAAAAATCTCATCAGAATCCTTGAAACAGAACTGAAATTATTGCAAGGACTTGTCTAAACTTAGTACTGATTCTTTATTTTTAATACGAGTTAGGTATCTTCTTAGAGTATTGTCAGGTAGCTATTTCCTCTGAAATAAAACATCTGTCCTCCAGGGAGGAGACACGTTCCTGAGGCTCACAAAGCTAACAAAACCTATAAGGCTCAGCAAGTTGCAAGACAAAGCTGCTCCACCAGCTCATAAAAACAGTGGGCAATGTCCAGGGAGTAGGGACTCCCTTCAGTGGAACTGACTGCAGAGCTTTGGAAATCACAGTGGGGCATACTTTTCTGTGATACAGCTGCATCTGAGTCGCAGATGCCTTCAAGGAGCTCCATTAAACTCACTGGTTCACTGCTACAAGCATGACTTGGGAGGAACCTCTTCTGTGTGTCACTGATGGCCTGTCTTGTATGATCTATATTTGTTTTCAAGTCACTCCAAGCAAAGGCACACAACAGAACTGGTGCTCAAGCAGGGGGCAGAATCTAAGATGAGTTGGGAGGAAAGCAGTTACAAGTCTCTGCAATGGCTGATAAAACCACAACTGAGTCTGACCTCTGAGGGTGATTCTGAAATGGTTATCCTTCTCTGTGTGGTATGCAATGGTGGCTTCTCTCCCACAGTGGGATGTCCATGCTCCCTGAAATGGGTGGTGAGACATGCAACCTATCGAAGTCATCTTAAAGGTTTAGTGGCCTCAGTGGGGAATCCTACAGTATCTGTCTTCCTCTATGTCCTATGGTGTGACATACTTCCTTGATATATAGGGTCTCTTATATATGGGGACGCTCCCTAAATGTCTGGTGAACTTAACAATATATTGTAATATAAGCAGGCTGTTGCCTGGGCGTTGGTTTGGGCTGTAAAATGCAGTGGCAATGGAGTCCTGTACCATGTAAACCTCCAGCTGCTTGGGTCCCGCTGCTGTCTCAGCCCTCAAATAACACACAAGTCACTATATTAATTATGAAGCTGTTGGCCATTTTCTATGGTTTCTTAATGGCTAGCTTAATTATTAACCCATAATTACTAATATATATTATCTTACCGAGAATGCCAGACATGCCCTCTCCTCCCGGGATCACATGGCAACTCCCTACACTTTACATTTCCCAGAATTCTCCCTGTCTCCTAGTTCCACCTATCTTGCTTCCCTATTGGCCAACAGTGCTTTATTCAACAACCAATAAGATAAACATGTACAGAAGACTTCCTCCATCAGAGTCTCTGCTGTTTATTTACAAAGAACTTGCCATGGAAAAGAAGAATTACAATGAGAAAAGACATAGCTACAAAAGTGAAAGATGGGATGGATACAGAGCAAAAAAGTAGAAATTAGAGCAAGCTTTTCCTGGGACCTAACAAGGAAGCCATAGGAAGAGTAACAGGGAAAGGATGCCCAATAAAAAGGGAAAGCATGAGACAGAAGTCATAGAAGACTCCCCTCAGGTTCCAGCTTTAACACAGAAAACACCCAATTCAGCATGCAGAAGGTCTAGTCCAGTAAATTGTTATAAGCAAATAATATTCTGCTTCTGAACTGCTCAGGATGTGAAAGCTTTTAAACAAGTAATGGAGGAGTCACCCACAGCTTGGTTCATAAGGCTGTGGGACACGGAACTGGATGGCATCCATCTGAATGCCAGGACAGCAAAAAAAAAAAAAAAAAAAAAACACTGAACGACACAATAACCATGTCTCCTTGAGACTAGTTGCATGAGCCAAGAAAGTGAGAAAATCAAGCTCTAATTTGCGGGCTCCTGTGAGACATCTGGTATTATCAGTTGAGGTCCTGTGAATCACAGGGGCTGGAGGATTTCAAAGTTAGGATTTAAGGCCCAGGAGGTAAAAGAAACTTATTGAGCTAGTGAGTTGCAAGATCCAAAGTTCACGAACGCAGTAAACAATTGCTTTATGGTTTCCATGCTCCATTATTACATGGATGTCCTTCCAGACCTTATTTCTAATGATGAAGAGATGTTAAAAAAATAACATTGTACAGTAAGATTCTCTACTGGGTCACTTAGGAATGCAGACTTAGGGGGAATTTGGAAAGTCATACTTAGATGAGGAAGAAATTCCTCACAATGTGACCACAGGTTGTATGGGAAACTCTAGAATGAGGCTTTTGTAAGTCTTTACTTGCACTGGGATGGAGTCTTCTGTGATGCAGCTGCCTTTGAGTCATCCACGTGCTTGTAGGCAACCCCAGAAAATCTAAAGGGTCACTGATTATAACTTGGTTGGAACTGTTGGCTTGCAGTCAGTTCTCTACCTAGGGTGAACAGATATTTGTTCTTATTTCCTCACACAACAGGTCTGTTTCCATCAAATAAGTCCCTGTACATCCCAGAGCACAAAGGAGTATGTGGGACCCATCAAATTCATATGTCACTATTTCTGTACTTTTATAGCATTGAAAACAATTATTTGAACATATTCCAGCACTGGTAAATGTCAGGTAAAGTGAGTTTATTCCAGTTACTTAAGATTCTAGACCTAAATTGAGCTCACATCTAAACTCTGTGTCTTTCTTCCAGTTGGAGTCCACTAGTCCTCAGGGAGGAAGCATTCAGAAGTTAGGCTAGACAAAGAAGTGAGCCCGAGGGGGCCTGACTGTCCATAGACAGATGGTGACACAGAATAACACCAATAAGCTCTGAAAAGACAACCACTTACCCGGCGACTTAAAGCAAAAATTAGACTTAGCTGTGTCCACATTAACCTACAGCCAAAGACATGGTGGATCACACACTTGATAATATTCTCAGAATGCTATCATGCACCCATTATAACTATATTATAACAGCTCCGAGCTTTTACCTATTTTAGTTTGCATTATGCATTTTTAAAAGCAAATTTATTCCCACACTACATTATTTCCATAGGCTCTACAATTCCACTGCCCCTCATATGAAAACACTTGGCTGTTTCTACTTTTGAAATTTAGTAACTGGAGACCATTTCCCTAATTTATCTTTTTTTTGATTCCTAATTAGTGAATACTTATTATCTCTCTCAGCTTAAGGCACCAACAATCTTGTAACACAACCTACTCCAGGAGAGTAAAACCACTGGGCAGTATGGAAAGATTTAACTTAGGTTTTATGGATTTGACTTTCTTGGCTGATTTGTTAACCATTTTACAGTAAAAAAGGTCACAATATATTTTGCTATTTTTGTCCCTAAAATTAAACTATAAAGGTTCTTCCTTGTCGACATGAAGCTGCTTACTAACATGACTGGTGTGGGTCTTTTGTTAGTTACCACAGATACAACGGAGGAGAGAAACGGATGCTTCGTTGGGCGCTTTATGGTTACCTTGCTCCATTGTTATATGGACATCCTTCCAGGCTTTATTTACATTGATGAAGAGATGTTGAAAAAAATAACATTGTACAGTAAGATTCTCTACTGGGCCACGTATGAATGCAGACTTAGGGGGATTTTGAGAAATCATACTAAATCTATGACACAATTAAATCTCATGAAAACAATGAGAGCTTAATATTTTGCTTTTCAGTAACAGGATTTTCCTATATGAGAAGACAAACGTACCTAACACGAGTTTTTCTAAGTATTCTCTTTAATATATAAAGCATTTTATAGACAATATTTCTTTGTTTCCCTCTCTCATAAGGTTTAGATTATGGTTAATATCTCATGACACCAAAAGTAATACTGCAACAGATATTAAAGCATTTTTTTCAGCCACTTATTCTATAAAATATTAATTGCAAGCCTGTGCATGTGCTGTCTATATAGGGGACTGGGTAAGAGAGTTTCTGCTCAGGTCTAAATCAATAAAAGATAACATGCAGAGCATCAATCATCATCTTCTCTCTCTTCAGTACATACTACCTGCAGGTGAAGATTTTAAAACAATATCTTTAAGTACCCATGATGATACTACAAGCCAGAAGACTTGAGCAACACTTACCTAGGAAGGACAGGTTTTTCTCTAGAAGCAAGTCTCTCAGCAGCACTTCATGCTCATAGCCAATGGCACTAGACATTTTAGTTAAGGAGGCAACACACACAGAAGGGCTGAACAATCAGGAAAATTCCAATGCCAAGTCTTTATGTTGAGACTAGATGGAGAATTATGGTAATTACACAAAAGATGTCCTACTCAGCTCTCACCTCTGAGGAAGGAAATTTCTTTACACACTCTTCCTCAGCAGAATTTTTCTGTAACACATATATTTTGGCAAACAATGATTTACAAATCACTGAATTTAATTTCTCTTAAAAAGAGGGGTGTCACTTAAAATATTAATTTGTATTAAAAAACAGCCCCCCAATTCAATTTAGTACATATTAACTAAACATTGACTAAGTACAAGAAAGAACAGTAACTAACCAGTCTTTGCCCTAATGTTTCCAATCTTAGAGTCCTAGAAACCTGTGAGATCCATTTGCCAGTCATCAGACCCTGCTTTATATCCAGGGGTAGAAAGGATACTGACTCTCTCTCTCTCTCTCTCTCTCTCTCTCTCTCTCTCTCTCTCTCTCTCTCTCTCTCTCTCTCGTGTGTGTGTGTGTGTGTGTGTGTGTGTATGCACATGAGCACACGCATGCATGTGCATGCACACGTTACATTTTTAAGCACATGAACAAATACACACAAACAGATGTGCACAGGAACGTGTAAACCGTTCTAATGCTTTCTCCATGGCAGACATCCTCAAGTGACTTAAGTATGTGATCCCCTCCTCACAAGTATAAAAAGGCCTGGTTCAGTAGACAGGGAAAGGAAATCATAGATGAAACCACACAAAAGCCAGTTAATGGGTGGGAAGTCAAGGATGAGGGTTGAGGGTAAAACTCAGTGGTACAGTGTTTGTCTAGCACTCTTGTTAACCTGGGTTCTACCTCTAGCAATGAAGGAAACCAAATAAAGCCAGGAAAGAGCTCTATCCAAGGCTCATGTTTGATTACACATCTTTCCCAAAAGCATCAGAACTATGTAACACTGGCCACTACTCAATGCTTCCCAAGGATCACATATGCTTCATGCTAAATCTTTAAGATTCCAGTTAAATGCACAGCCTAAGACGTTATGCTAAACACCCTGAGACATTCTTTGAGTCTTCACAACACCTTCAAGAGTACATAATCTTAGTCCCATTTTCTCAGTCATGTAAAGGAAGTTTCAGAAATGCTGAGGTATGGCTCATAAATACTGAAGCCAGTGTCAATCCTTTGAAGTTCGCTTTCTTCTGAAGGAAAGATACCAAACTAAGTCTCAAAAAAACTGTTAACTATACCGGTCCTTGAGCCCAGTTGAAGGCATTTAGTAGAAGCAGTCAGGAGTTGCGATCACCTCCTTCCTTACCCCACAGTATCAACCTGGGCCAGCACTCCTTGACTTACCAGAGATGGTTGTTCTGATCATGCATTGCAAGTATTCAACTTAAATCAAAGACAACTTATATCACTAGTAAAACAACAACAACAACAACAACAACAACAACAAATCCTAGAAGATTACCCTGCCTCAATGGGTTACAGGTGACTGTCATTTAAATCACCTAATTCAAGAAACAGTCACTTTTGTCCATGATCAAAATAAGGCCAAAGTCACTATTACTGCCCCTACCCTGTTTTGTTTTTGTTTCTCTTCCAATGCACATGACTACACTTATTTAATTTTTAACTAGACATAAAATAAACAAAAATTTTAAATCATAGAATTTCACACATTTTCTGAGCCCATTGAAGACATTTGATGGATAAGTCTCAATGGTCTCTCATTACCAGGGAATCCCACATTTTCAAACTAAATTATTTACTTCTTTCCACATAAATGTGCTCTCACTTTTATTGTTGTAAATTATTTACATCTAAAATGTTGGCTCATGAAACCAAGGTTACTGATGGTACAGAAATGAAACCCACAGCCCCTGATGCCTCCTGCGTCATCATCTCCCCGCGCTTCTCTCTTCAGACCCTTGTCTAATAGCTGTGGCCTAGAGTGCCACTTAGCAAAGTTGAAGTGGCTGCTTTTTCATGGAATTTGCTTGGTGGATATGAGACGGAGAGGCAAAGATATGGGAGCAGGGACGATGGCGACACATACTATACAAAATAAGTAAATAAACAAATAAATACAGCAGCCACCAAAAGCAAACTAAAACACCCTGACAATACATCCTCTTTATCATTGTGCTTGGTGTGTCATTTTAGTAAGTGACCAATTTACTTTATTCTCTGAACATGCATGCCTACATCTAACATTTTCATAATAGAGTAAGAAGGCTTTGCATCTATTCCATTTACCAAATGAGTGCTTTCTTTGTAAAGAAACTGATGTACTGTAGTGAGGGTAAGCAAGGGAAACAAACATTACCAAAATTATCAGGACCACACAGAAGAGCATTTCTCACTTACAAAGAAAGCCAATAATTTCATTCAGTTTGAAATAAAATGATTCCTGTTGATCAGTCTAGGAAGCATTTTTGCCAGCTTATTTACAATATATGAAACTGACACCACTTCATTGCAAAGATAAAAATCAGTCTCCCCACAAACTCCCCAGCCTGTTTTACTTCATATAGATACTTCAGTCACCAATTTTAAAGTTTGGAAAGATATACTTGCTTTGTTGGATTTAGGCATAAAAATGCAAGGTGTACAAAATAAAGTTTATAAAAGCAGTGATTTTTACTGGTAATAAGCATAATGGAACTGAAAAATCAGAATCTAGTCAGTGATTACAATTTATATACATACATCATTATATTTATCAATTGAAATTATATAGTCCATTAAATCCTACCGACAATACACAGCCAAAAGAGTACTTGAATGATGGCAAGAAATATATATGTATACAAGGAAAATATTCCAGACAGAATTTATAATGCTCCATAAGCAGAAACACTTAGACACTGTCTATGAGGATACCTATTATTGATGTATGGGAGTGACCATGGGGCAAAACTTGTAAATAACCTCACAAGCCATTTTCTTTGCCAGCAATACAGCAATCTAGTTTCCCGTAAGCATCTCAACTATTACTGAAAAATAGCCTCCTGGCATTTACAAAGCAGTTGACTTCATACTTTAGTCCATGCATATATAATTAGAGAGTTATATTTAAAATCAATATGCAATCCTTCAAAAGACATTATGCTTTTAAAACCTTAACTTTAAATTGATTTTTAACTATTTTATGTGCTTTGAAATTAGCATGTAATTCAGACCTAGACACTCTAAGATGGTGTCAATTGTTATATAAATGTGCTGAAGTTTATCACTGACGCGCTCCTACAACTTTTAACACCCCCATTAATTTCACACCAAAAATAGAAGCATAGTTACACTTTAGTCTAATAAAAAAAGCCAGCTCTTGACAATATCACAGTTCGGTTCATTTTAGTTAGGGGACCAGATCAGAGAATGCATCTATAAAAAGCTACATCCTAGTTATTCAATACTCTTGTAAGAAGACTCCCTTTTCAAAGATATGTCAAATGCTAACTGTGTCTTTAGGAAAGACAAGAATTTTTTTCCCAAAAAATTTGAGCCAGGTGTGACAATACACACTCACAATCCCAACCCAAAGGAAATGGATGCAGGGGGATTGGGAGCATAAGGCTAGCTTGGACAATATAGAAAAACCATGCCTCAAAAATGTCTTTCTAACCGTCTCTAAGCCTTTGTGAAACTAGAAAAATATAAGTAAATATACAGATGCACAAACATATATGCATATGTAGATATGCACACATTTTATGCACACATGTGAATATGAATGCACACATACATGCATGGTTACGCACACACATATATGTACACGTGTGGATATGTGTACACACATACTCAGCTTGCAAGAAAATCCAACAAAAATTCTGACAGGTGATCACTGAATCACAGCTGGCCCCTGTGACATCCTGCTATTAAAATCTACCAATTTCCACCAAAAATGATGACTACTGTTATTAAAATTCCCACTGTTGTGACATTTCATTTATCAATAATCTCTACTAAAATTGTTGCCATTCACCCAACCTTATTTTAAGAAGTATTGACTCCTTATGAATTTCAGTGGCTTTAATAACAAATGACTGGACATCTGCTTTTACAGCCTTAAAGTTGGTCCCAAGGGAAAAATTAACACGGTTTCTCAAAAAATATGTCTTAGGGATCCAAATGACAGTTCAGATTGCAATCACTAAGCAAGTAGAGTCTAGTGCCCATTAAAATGCGGTGGTCTCTGGTGGCATTTTAATAACATCATCCTTTTACTCCAGGTTCAAATTTTACTCTAGAACACTCAACTGAATTTGGCTCATTTTAAATGGAACTTTGTTATATTTTTTAAAATGGCCACTGGGATGGTTAGATACATTCCAAAACAGTGTGTAACCTGCCTAATGACTCTACACCTTTCAACTCATTGAAAACCAAGCAGTTTGAAATAAGCATGCGGACCTGCATCTGCTAAACTGACATCTTCCTGTGGCCTAGCTGATCTTTCCTAAGTGGGAGAAGAGAATGGACTGCAGTGACCCTCCAGCTGACTGAATGTAAAATAGGACAGTATGAAATGTGTTTTGTGAAGCAGAACTTTATGTCAGGTTAAAGCTAGACACATCTCCTCCACTGAGTCTAAGCTCGTCAATTGTGCACCTAAAATTTTATGGGGAAGGATACTGCTTGATGCAGTCCACCAGCGGTCCATAACAGCAGTCGTTCACAATGCACTGTGGACAAATAAGAGGAGGGTTACAGGCTGGGGGAACTACAGACCCCACCACGGTAAACATTCTAAAAGCAGGCATTGCTTCTCCCCCTCCACCACTACCCAAAAGAGAGCTATCAAAAGGCTATTCAGATTTAATCACAGAAAACAAAAATTGCATGCTTTTTATATACTATAAAAGCAAGCTATTAAAAAGTAAAATGCTCTTCTTGAAAATATTGCTTTGCCATTTATGGTGCGCCCTGACCTCAGTGATAGTTTATGATGACAGTAATTAAATGAGGTTTAAAATCCTCTACTCGGCTAGGCAGATAACAGCATCGCCACTGAAAACAGCAGTGATTAATACCTGATAGACCTGGTTGGCTAGAACTCCATCTGGAATCTGAGAAGGGTCCCGTAGCATATTATTTATAACAGACTTGGAGGCTGTAGAAGGAAAGAGATGAACTATTAGCAGAAAGTCAACACACTTTTAATATGACACAAGAAGTAATGTATACCAAGGTACACACAGACCACAAAAAGAAAAACAGTACTGATACTGATCATTGCCCAGAGATTTTCATCTGAGAAGCTCTTAATTACATCATTTTTGCCAAATATTTGTAAGCTACATTGCCAGATTTGACAGTGACCTGATTTTTTCCAAGGTAAATTAACAAGTGTAGACCTAAAGCATATGTCTATTTGCAGACTAATCATCTTTGGAAAAGCCAACTTTGGGAAAAGAAAAATCCAACAGCAATAACCAGAAAAAGAATAACTTTTATAGATAGAGATCTTATTCCCAAGCAACTGTATGTGTACAAGTTAGGTAGGGCAGGCCAGACTCACAGGCTTCACTAATGCCAATAAAAACATCTCTCAATACAAAATCTGTTCAAAATAATTCCCATCAACTGCCATCAGTTGTTATGTCCATTGCATAGGTGAGAAATACAGGTAAGAGAGGCTTATAACTGTGGGAATCTGAAATGAGGGTGTGTGTGTGTGTGTGTGTGTGTGTGTGTGTGTGTGTGTGTGTGTGCTGTTGTCTTCTTGTATCCATTATTTGCAGGAGGCCATATTCTATGGATGCATGGATGCTCAATCTCCTTATAAGACACACTAAAATATTTGCATATAATGTACCCCACAATCTGACGTATACTCTGTCTTTAGATTGCTTGTAATCTAAGTCAATACAAATGGCATGTAAATCATTGTTATACTGTCTTTACTGAATTAGAAAATTGAATACAGGTACACTTTTCTCCCTTACATTTCTATTAGTAGTTGGCAGAGTCTTCTGTGTGGAACTTATGAGTATAGAGGGTCTATCATTTGCGGAGGGGAGGGTAGGTAGGAAGTAGATATAGTTTATATGTAAATACATTTTCCACCCCAAATATGCCCCACCCATCTGCAAACTAGTCTGAAATCCCGGGGACTTCCACATTAGAAGAAAGGCAGAATTGAAAACATCAAGAGACGGGTTATGCGAGGTGCAGAGCTGTGAAAGCCATGAAGAACATCCTGGTCATGCTTTTCTCCTGGTGCAAATCAATTCTGTCTTAGGGAATGAACCATGCAGGGACTGCTTGAATGACTCTTGTACTATTATCTAGTTAAGAAAGTTAGCAAATGCCATAGCTGTGTGCCATTTTAGTACTTGGATAATTTTAAGCTTAGTTTTTATTATCATGTTCTCTTTCAACTTCAGTGGCCTTGGGACACTGACAGATATGAGATATGATAGTAAACACTGTGGAAAGAAATAAGACTGCATTTTTAGTGTAGAACTGATTCTAAAAGAATCATTCACAACTGTATGCTATTGCATCACTGTTACATGTAACAGAAATTTGCAAAAACATGTTTGCACTAATGGGGAGAGTCCATATAAAATCTCAAAAGGGCATCACCAAGCTATCTTATCCAATCCTGTCTTGTAACCAGTTCTCCAAACTAGCAAACATTGTGGACTCTTGTGTTCAGTGACTTCATCTGTAGGAAGTGATGCTATTATTTGAGTTGACTGCTCTAAAGAGTTCTCATGTGAGTCTCTTGAGAAAACAGCTGCCACATCATTTCGTTAAAGTTCAAGTAGTAGTCTGAACCAAATGAGACTTAAGACATTGGCTGTGTTTTATAAACTTGGGCTATACTCAATTATTTTTGACATAAATTACCATGGATAAGTGGTATGGATCCTGAGAATATGAAACAGTAACCCATCACCTTACTTAGGAACAGATGATGTGGGAACAGCACTAAGGAGACAACAATGTGCCTGGTGAACCTGCCCACTTTCCCTAGCATATTTCTAAAGCCTAGCCAGAAGGTGGAGATCAAAGCAGTTGTTCACATGTGTGGTCGCCTTCGCTGAGAATACTTCCTTTGGTCGGCCACTCACTTGCAGATGCTAATGGCACATACATCCTCCTATGTTACCCAGGAAAACAGGAGTCTTCTCTGTGCACACTTGGTCATGAGGTGCAAAGATGTTGCAATGTAAATTCACGCCCATGTGAAGAAAACATCATTTATAGGCAAGTGTGACCCAAAGTGGTAGCCAGTGGAAAATTACTGACCTCTTAACAAATTACATGCAAATCCACTGTTCAAATACTTTTTAAAAGCTCTTTTTCAATAAGAGAGTCAATGTCCCAAGATCTGAGAAATGTAGGTCATTTATTTTGAGGGGAGAAAAAGAAAATGTCAAAAAAGAAAGTAATGGTTCTAATTTCATCATAACATAAACCCTTGAATGGTGTGCTTCTTAGGATTCAGTACCATGATCAATAAACTTTTTTGAAAACATCACTTGAGGGCTGGGGAGATAGATGGCTTAGTGGTTTAAGTGTTTGCCATGCAGGGCTGAGGACCAGAGTTTGAATCCTCAGAATCCATGTAAATGCTAAGTATGAGTATGGTGGCCTTGCACAGTGCTCAGAAGGTAGAGTGAAGTGGCTAAGAAGACTAGACAAGCCATATGGGTGACCTCTAGGTTTGCTTAAGAGACCCTATGAACAAACAGGATGAAAAGCTGATCTTAAACATCAACCTGGGGCTTGCACAGGTGTGCCCGCACACACGCGCAGCGCGCGCGCACACACACACACACACACACACACACACACACATAAAATAGGAGAAAAAAGCCACTTTAATATGTTGAAGTAAACATTACAAAACAAAGAAAGTTAGTTGTTTTTCATTAAAACTGTAAAACTGAAAATTGATGTGTACTAATCTGGGCTGGGCATCCCAACCCCTAACTTTTAGGGAAGACTGTGTAAGGGGGGTGGAAAGGCTCTAAGAGTTAGAGAAACAGGATGCCATCTGTGACATAGTGCCTTCTAGAATTGACAAGGATGCTGTGCCCATGACATTTCAGCAATATGGCTATCTAAAGAAGACCTATATAACAGTCACACATGTCAATATGGATCAGTGAAATTCACAAGCACCAGCCCCTAGATGAAGAATTCCAGGCAGTCAATGACTATTGAGTGAGAAAGAAGCTGTTTTCTCCAGGGACGAGCTCGTTGATAGGTTTTCTAATTCTAGGGGCCGGTTCTTAACACATGTACATAGGAGCAGCACTGACTAGGCACAGTGTGAGCTTCCAGATATTTCAAACATGGAGGCAGAAAGCCTATTTTCCCTTCCTAACACTTTATTTACACTGCAACAGGTACATGACTTCGCCTCTTACAAAGAAGGCACAAAATAAGAATTCAAGTCATTTGACGTTATGGCCACAAGAACAGCAGAGGGCAGGCATTGGATAAAGTATGTCACAAGAGATGGCAGCAATGTTTTGACTGAGGCAGAATACTTAAGACTGTGAATGTGTTCATTATAGAAAGCTTCTAACACAAGGAATGTACAAAATCAACATAACAAATACTCGTGGAGTAGCTTGATGCTTTGACTCATGTATCTATGTCTACGTCATGTACTTTAGTATTAATTTGTATAAACTTTTCTGTTACCTACATTTGGACTTCTCTCTAGTCTCTTGCTTTTCATGTTCTGTCACTCATTCTTTCTCTTCTCTTTGTCAACTAAGTTTTATTCATGTTTTTCTTTATCAAGTTATTTCTTTGGAACCAAGATGTTCTGAATCTATTCCTTTGGTCATCTTCTCAAAGAAGTATCCAAACTTTGACATTCTACAAGTAAGAAATAAGATGGTACCATCAGTCTTCCCCACCAGGTCTGAGAGTAGAACTAACCTTTGAGAACAGAAACATGAATTTAGAGCATAGCTTGATCTTTTACCTATTTAACAGAATAATGATATTAAATTCACACCTGGGTATGTAATCTCCTCAGCCATGGGTTTTGCAGTACCATATATGTGTAGAGCGGGGCTTAAATCCAATCAGAAGTGGTTGGTTACCATGTAACATTTATGCCACTATTGCACCCATGAGCTTATCTTGACAAGCTTATCATTAAGGTAGTTCACAGAGTTTACAGTGGCATAGGTTAAGACCCTTGGTGGCCTTTTCTCCCCAGCAGCCTATATAGCACCTTCCGCTACTATGAAAGCTAGCCATAGGGGAGGAAACTTCCTGGTTAGTGCCAACTTGAATCTTCCATGTCCCATAACCAATGTTCTCATCTACACACACACACACACACACACACACACACACACACACACACACACACACACAGAGAGAGAGAGAGAGAGAGAGAGAGAGAGAGAGAGAGAGAGAGAGAGAGAGAGAGAGAGAGAGAGAGAGGGAGAGAGAGAGAGAGAAAGCACTCATTTGTTTTCCATTTTAGAGGAAAGGAGAGTGGGAGAGGAAAGTGCTCTACCACTGAGCTATATGCCTAGTACTTTCTACTTTTTCAAACATTTGAGTCTTAATTCTTCAGTTTTATCAACTGTTTGTCAATTTTTTTCAGCCTCTTGAATACTCTTGTCCATTCCCTTAGTTTGGGTTCTTTGCTGTAAACATCAGGTTTAGATTCAAATACACCAATGTGCTAATCTCTTCCTTATTTTTCTCTTTCTCTGATACACATAACCTAATGATGTATAATGCAAGTGAGTGTTCTCCTAAGAAACTAAAAATATTCTGGTCCTTTTTTCATGATTTAATCTATATTCAGATGTTCAATTCCAACTCTGGTGATCTATGGTTATCCTGTCTGTGAAAGAAAGTAAAATGGACATACAGGAGAGTTGTAAAGGTTAAATAAAGTAACACCATAAAGCACTTCCACTGACTGAGACTTGGGCTTTTATAGTGCCTACATGCTGACTCCACTGTAGTTAGATGGTGTGAGCTGCCTTCCACCTCAAAACACTGCATGTCAGCAGGTATAGTATAACTGTCTATTGTGGAATGAGTCAAAAAAGAAAGACTTCATAGGGTCTATATAAAATCAAGAGTGTGATCCTAAAGTAGATAGTGTCACAGACA